ATTCAATGTATTTTCTAAGTCAAAAAGGGGCATAATTCTGTCAAAAACCTTGACAGAGTTATGTCCTCTTGTCTGTTGATGAAGGTCGTGATGGTAAACAAGTATGGTCAGTTTCAAAGCAATACCTCCAATGGTTTTGAAATAAAGTGAGGTGGTACAAAAAACTTAACCAAGATTCTAAGTCGATAAAAAGGCCTTAATTTTTAAAAAAAAAAATCCTTGACAGAGTTACCTTCTCTTGCGTACAGATGGGGGTAATGATGTGAAATAGCATTAAAAGTTTCAAAGCAATATCTCAAAGGGTTAAGGCAATAAGTGGATTTTACCCATATTCAATGTATTTTCTAAGTCAAAAAGGGGCATAATTCTGTCAAAAACCTTGACAGAGTTATGTCCTCTTGTCTGTTGATGAAGGTCGTGATGGTAAACAAGTATGGTCAGTTTCAAAGCAATACCTCCAATGGTTTTGAAATAAAGTGAGGTGGTACAAAAAACTTAACCAAGCTCAATACACTTTCTAAGTCAAAAAAGGGCCATAATTCTGTCAAAAACCTTGACAGAGTTATGTACTCTTGTCTGTAGATGGAGGTTATGATGGTGAACAAGTATGGTAAGTTTCAAAGCCATACTTGTAATACTTCTGAAATAAAGTGGGGTGGTACGAAAAACTTAACCAAGGTGTGACGCCAACGCTAACGCCGACGCCGACGCCGGGGCGAGTAGGATAGCTCCCCTTTTCATAGAAAAGTCGAGCTAAAAACAACATTTACAGCAATATGAAAAGAAATAGTAAAATATTAACTTTTTTTAAAGTATTAGGCAAAAATGACTTACTTGCCTAAACTCGGGCTAAAATGACTTACTTGCCTAAACTCGGGCCAAAATGATTTGCCTATTTAACTATTAGTATAAAGCAAGGCCAGGATGTCTATGTCCAAGAAGACTTACAAGCCTTTCTACTGATGGTTTCTCAAATTTAACCTTTTCTGATACTAAGACCCAATAAAATAACTATAAAGACTTAAATAGTAATTTTCTAAGAGTACCAATTAAACCATTAACTGGTTGTGAACTTTGAAATTTTTGCAAATATGCGGTTTCTAATTATTTACCGATTAAACAGACATGCACTTGCATTGATTTCACAATACATACAGTAAGCCACATGGACCAGAATCAAACCTTTAACGTTTTATAGGGCTAACAATGGCGGAACAAAAACACACACAAAGAGATTCAAATCACAAGGGTGTCATTGTAATTAGGTAGAGCCACATGGCCTTCACATTCTCATGCACATGTCTGTTTTACACACCATTAATATAAAACTCCTAGTGATAAAACATATACCCTAATGTCTGACAGCCAAGCAGCAAAAACAGTCATTTCCAAGGCATCTGTTTTCGGAGTAGTTTTTCCATGGGTAGTAAAATTTCAAGATTTGATATGGTGATTTATTGTTGAACCTGTATCTTTACGGCATAGAAAGATAATCTTTGCTCTAAGATATCATTCGAAAATTTGCCCTCTTCAAAAAGTCAGGCAATTTCGGACTGTGGGAGGTCTTCACAAAATATTTGATAATCCCAATGTTTAAAAAAAAAAAAAAAAATTTTGTTCAGTTATGAATTTAAAATTCAAATAACAAACCCATTAAATTTTAAATTTTTAAAAGTGACACACTGTCATATCTTCTGTGTGTTGCATAATAACAGCATATAAACATCAATATTAAGAATTTTGTAACTAGCAACCTTAAAAAGGGAACCAACCCAACCCCGAAATAATCCATGGAATGCTTTATAGAGCTAGGCTAGTTTATATACTGCTGGAAGGGCTTTTAAGCACTGGTGGGGAAGAAGCTGCTGTTCCCTTAAATAAGGGGAAATTAAAACAGTATTTTGCAGGATAAATTCTTTTTGTATATAAATTGAATTTAAGAGGAAAACTGCATGGTTTTAAAGAATTTTCTGCAAGGAATGCCACTCTTAAAGGCTCTTGTTGTAGAAAAATACTGGTAGTTTAATATAAGCAATTTTTCATTGTTTTCACCTCAAAATAATGATGAAGATTTCAAAAAATTCAAACAAATACAAGTCCAATATATACATATAAACATGAAGAAAAATATAGTACACCTTTACCCGACATATTTTTTATTAGCTTTTAACGAGTGTGCCAAAATTAGCTTTTAAAAGATTTCGAAAATATCAATTATTCCAGACTTCTTTTATGATTTTCTACAAATATTTGGAATATCATACTAGTAAATAGATTAATAACGGAAATACATTTCACATTTCATGGATCAATTTTGACAGAATTATTATTTCGGCAACTCTACTTCCTATGGTAAATGAAGCAAATTAATATTGAATGAAAAACAAATTTTTCGTACCAGGTGTTCAAATGTTTACATTTCATTACGCTACTGAAACTGGATATAATGGCCTTATTCAAACAAATAATCATATATTACAAATCTTTTAATCAAATTTAAATTGAAAACAGTATTTCTATACATTTACATTAAAAAAAGTTCTTAAATTTGGGTAATAACCCCTCCCCTCCCAAATCTTAAAAATGTTGAACAAAATTACCTATGTAGAAGCAGATAAGAAGAAAGAAATGGTATTAAAAATATTTTTGTATCAGTTTGCACCAATCAGAAATGCACACTGACCTTGACATAGCCAAGTCACTATGGCAACAAGATTAAGGGGTTCCAATAAGACAGTATGTATGCCTAACCCTGATGAAACCAAAAGTAATTAGTCACCAATATAGAACTAGGCTTGCCTGCACATAATGGAACAGTCTGACCAGGCTCTATAAAGTTGACTAAAAACTTTATATTTTCATCTTGATATCACTAAAAACTGATAATGTAATGTTCCAAAAATATATGCTGGACTAGTCCAATTAAAAAATTCAGCAGAAATTTGGAGAGAAATAAAGAAGTCTTAAGAATTTCTTTTTTTTTCCTGTTTGAAATTAAAAATGTTCAAGTTTTTTCCTTGGTTTTAGTTATATCTAAATGTAAACAAACAAAAAAATCATCTCTATTTATCATACTAATAATATGAGTGTATCAAAACCAATAAAATATTAAGAGGAAATCATAAAAAGAAATTTTATGGACATTAAAGAGATGTCAATAGTGACTTAATGGGTATTACGAAGTGTCAATTGCCTACTGAAAATACAAATTTGAAGAAGCTTTTTACATTATTTTTACAATTTTCTACAAAAAAAAAAATAAATAATAATGATAAGAAACCATAATCTACCCCTGTTTCATTTAATTCAGTTTACAATATGACTGTTTAATAGAGAAAAGAAAATCCCTTCAAAATCATTGACAGGACATTTATATCAACTTGTAATTTTTAACCTTGTGCTGATAATTGCTTTTTTGTTGTTTTTTCTTTTTGTATGTGTAATACTGCATCAACACAAATATATAAGGCATAATGACAAATTTGAAGAAAGATCCCAGGTGTCAATCAGGTACTTTGTATCTCAAATTAAACTAAGCTACCAAGTTGACCAATGTCATTTCAACAGCTTTGGATAAGTGATATTTTCTTTTTATAAATATTTTTACAGTTATGATAACATTAAATACTGAAGATGTATTATTATCCAAATTGTAACTTCACCTTTTCCTGTCATTTAATTCTATTTCAACTTTTTGGCGGGATACGAAGAAATTCTTTCGTCCACTTTTAAGACATCAAAATAATTAACCTTGCGTAAACTCTAGCTAAGTACAATGTTTCCGTCCAAAAATGTAATTTTGTATTGCGTGCCACGGTTGCTTCGATGAATTTTGGCATGTTTAGAAAAACTTTACCATCTAAGATATCCGCGTAATCTTTCCAATAATCTAACTATGTACCTGACACCGGGGTCACAAAATTTTAATCGCAACAAAGCCTCATCGTGCAGATAAAAAAATTACGAGTTTCTAAATTTTCTGACAATTTCAAAATTTGATTTATTTAAGAATATAGGCTTGGCGTTGAATTTTTTTTGTTTTGTAACAATATTTTAACACGGATTTCTTCTTTTTTTAAGACCGTACACAATAAGTTTCTTCAAATTACGGCTTAAATACCAGAGATATATATAACAATTTTATCGGGCACATTTTAATGGTTCAGTAATCATTTAAGTTCAATGAGTACAGGCCTCATGTATGAAACAAAACAATCTTCGTTACAAATCTACGTGTATTCAATGTCACTGAACTGTCTATCTGATTTCCAACCCCCTCTGTCAACGAACATGTCGAAGTATACTTTATGGGTGCGTATTAAATTTGAGATTGTAATCTTCTATAAAAAAAACCGAACCCTAAATCCAGACTACCTAAATCTAGGGCCAAATCAATATTTTTAAAACGTTCCTCACAATAAATTAAACCGCTGTATTCTTCAAATACAAATATTGACAAAAATGTTTATTATAAATGATTCATACATTAATCTTCTTCTATGAAGCATTTTTATAATAGCTAAATCTCTTCTTTGTTTGTTTAAGATTTACCAAATGCTTGCAACATGTCTAGGAGAAAAGTTAAAATTTCTACAATTCAAATGTCTTGTATTGCTCTATTGAAAGACATTTTCATTTTTTAAAAGCTTTTTCAAATCCTGTCCCATAATAATCTCCGAAATCCTTTTTAATTGAGCCATTACAAATTTTCAAAATAAATTTTGTTAAAGTACATCATAATATAATAACCATTCTAATGTACCAAATATTACCATTGTTAAAGAACTTAATAACTTTTTTTCAGGGATTGGATTTTGAGCACCACTGACACTTTAATGTAAAAATGTCAAGCATAACTAGTAGAGGAAGACCTCGGATGACCCTCTCAGCATAATTTTAGGCATAAGCATGCACCCTTGTAGAACCACTTTCATTTTATAAATAGAATTTTTGAAAAGTACATTTTATTTTTCGTTAAAAATTCAATAAACATATCATACCATCATATTGCTCATGCCCATGGAAAACTTCATATCTTTTTGAGGAGTTCCCATATCTGGAGGGCCCATTGGGCCCATCTGAGGTCCATTCGGCATGTTGCCAGGGTTACCTGGCCCAACCCCACCTCCAACATGAAGAGTGGCTGGCTGAAAATAAAAACAGAAAATATAGAGTTATTGGGTTTGTAAATGATACCAATTTTAAGACCAAAGGCAAAATATTTGAATTTCATTAGCATTTTTATGCTGTTTACCATTATAACAAAATAAGAAAGTAAAAAGTTGCTGTTTTGTTTTTTATGTCGATTCTCATACACAAAGAACTTTAAGGACATAATAATTATGCAATATAAGAAGGTAAAACATGTAAGTTTCATTTTAAAATGCATTCACTGTGATTCATCTGATTTTGATAAAATGCGACCCATTTGAGAAAAGGATGTTAAAAATATTTAGTCCTAACTCCCAAGATCAACCAAAAAAATACAAAGTGGAATATATTGGCTCAAACTGAAACACTGGCTCAGTCCAAAATATTGGCTTGAAGTAAAATATTGGCTCTAAGTGAACTATTGGCTCGAAGTGAAATATTGACTTGATACCTATACTTATTTCTATCTAGCACATCTCCCTTCAAAATTTTTGATAGAACAAAAACAACTGCTCACAGAGGTAACACAAACAATATATCTGCAAGAAAAGCAAGTTCAACCTGCCGAACTATTTTTTTTTCTTCTTCTTCCTCTCTCTAATCTGAGGGTGATTATGAACCATTAGCTGTTCAGATAAGGCTGGAGGAGTCTGGAGAAATAATCATAGCTTGTATCGTATTCCCCATAAAAATAATCAAACTCTGGTAACATTTCTGGCATCACTGGTATATACATACACATACAAAAAAATATCCCTGACTTCTCCACTATAAACCCTCCCCTTCTCATATTATTTCTGTTTTTTTCCTCATTTTTTTTTGCATGACTAAGGGTGTTTGAATTTTTTTTTCTTCTCTTCTACCTCACTCTGAATTAATTATAATGTAGTTAGGCCAATTGTAGTAAAAACGTTGTTTCTTAGGTAAAAACTGATGGAAATATAAAATATAGCAAATTTCTTTGTCCAGGTGAAAAATTACAGTAAGTTAGTCATTTTTTTATTTCTACAAACAATTCATTGTTATCATTTTTTTGACTAGCATTTTTACAAGTATGAAATGGACATACCTTACATTAAATTAAAAACTTAAACATTCTTAAGAAATGAACATATCAAAATTGAAAAGCTACCAATATAAGAAGGTATGGTCAAGTATTCTGGGAGTTAAACCCTTGCCCTCCTTGAACCTGGTGATTAAGACAATTTGCCATGACAGGTATAAAGCCAGACCAGCCTGCACATCCATTCAGTCGGACCAAGCTCTACATAATTATACATTGTTGACCAATAAACTTCAATTTGTTATTTTGACATCCCTGAAATTAATAATGGACACTTCCAAAAATGAAAACTGGACAAGTCCATTACAGAAATTCAGGAAGTTATGGTTTTAAATCAGTATTATTCCGCCAATCAAATTGTGTAATGATTTGACAGGCCTTTATCATTCCTCCATCATTTATCCAGGGAGTTGTTTTTGTTTTTCTGATGTGGGGAAATGAAGCCAAACAGACATTAATTAGCTTGAAATTCATTCATTACTGCTGCACTGAAACAACCCCAACATGAGTAACCGGAAAACATAGATGTTTTAAGCTAGAGAGTAAAATCACTCAAAGTTAACCTATCTTTTATTGTTATTTTGAATGATAAGCCGGGAATAATATTGACTCATGGATGCCACCAGTACAAAATCAGATCAGCCTATTATGTCCAAGTAATCGAACCAGTCTATTTTACTAATGATATCTTACGTTTTAACTTTTCTATACTGAAACCCCCGTAAGTAACAATGGAAACTTCCAAATAAAAAGCTGCAGAAAAAATCCATTTTAAAAACTCAGCTACGCAAGTTATTTAAAAAAAAAAAAAATGAAATTTGTTAGGTCAAGGATTAATGTGTAAATTTAAATAATCATAATGAAATAATTGCAGATGTTTTCATTACAGCACCATTATTTAAACAGAACCTTTTAACCCTTAGGCTATCTGTTTCCTTAAAATGACCCCTACAACCAAACCCCTCTTGCAGACTGACCTCCATTACCCCACCCCTTCTCCCCATCATACCCTTGTCAGTGAAATAAATTACGATCATTAATAGTAGCGAGGACAAAAAGGTATCCAACATGTCCGAAGGTACTGATGGAAAATTAAATCTAAAACGGCTTTTAAATGAAAATAAAACACAATGGCTCCATTTCAACCTTGCCGCCCTCAGGAAAATCAAAATGTAATATTTTTTTCAAGTTTGACGAAAGCCATGAGAACTTTCCAACAGTTTTGCTATGAATTAAAACCATGGGAAAAGCTCGCTCTTAAAAATCTTATCTGTGGGATCTGTTTAAGTCATCTACCAGAAGTTACAATGAATCTTGACATGAGATGTAAGGTTTTTAGAGTTTAGATAAAAACAACATGTTATTATGTCAAAGACAGTTTGTTTTGGAATAACTTTTACAGAATTTACTTCAATGCTAAAATACTAGATCTCAAATGCATCCAAAATGCATGTTTATGTTTCAAATGTTTGAAGCTTTTCAATAAATTCACTACTATGATGCACAGTTTGTAATCAGGTATCAATTAAAGTTGAAACATATACCAATTTCATTAATTACTAAAATGTTACATTTAATTTCAAACAATCAAAGATGTACCATCTTAACATAGCCAACACTGTTTACTATTCAAGTCCGTACATATCTTAAAATCATCCCCCAAAAATGATTTATAGTTTCATCCGGACTGAAAGATGGACAAGTCCATTTAAGATATTTAGTGTGTAGTATAAGCCTTAAATTACAATACCTAGCAGCTACTTTCAAAATTGAGAAAATTCAAGACTTCACATTATGGGGTACATTTCTTAAATCTTTTGTAATGAAACAAAACAGCTAGCCTTATCTGAATATAACCTGGTCAACTAATTAAAACCAATTTTACCACAGACGCCTCTATTCAGACCTTTATTTCATAAAACGGCAATTATTTTAGACCACCTACCTCAATGAATGTCAACAATTTGAAAAATGTACTGAAAATAAACAGTGTGTGCCTGTGCATGTAAATTTCTAATTGATGAAAAAAACATCATAACATGCAATCTACCAAGCTTGTAGACATCACATTTTACAGCTTTACCATGTTGGTCTTCACCAGTTTGAATGCATCTTCCTCGCTTTGAATGCGGAAGAGTCTATTAGTTGTTTAAGAGATGAGCAGTCAACATTATAAAATTTCAAATGTATTTTTTTGTTTTTGTTGGCTTAAGTTTTAAGTCACATCAACACTGTAAATGTGATCTAGAGAGTTAATAGCTTTACTGGTAGAGGTTTTGTTTGTTTGTTTTGGGTTTTACGTCACATCCACACAGTATAGGTCATCACGACGTTCCAGCTTTACTGGTGGAGGAAGACCTCAGGTGCCCTTCCGTGCATTATTTCAGGCACGAACGGGCAGCTGAGTAGAACCACCGACTTTCCGTAAGCTAGGTGGATAGCTTCCTCACATGAAAGAATCCAAAGTCCCTGTCGGGATTCGAACCCACAGCGGTGAGGGGCACTGGTAGAGGTAAAACCTCAGGTACCCATATGTACATTATTTTTATTGTTTTAGCAAGAACCACCATCCTTTTTATAATCCCAACATGACAGAACCCTTAATTTTTGGCAGGGTTCAAAGTGTACAGTGGCAAGAGAATAGAAGTTGACCCCTGTAACCACTCTCAGTCTCTGTCATGTAGAAGAAACCAAGGGTTAAATGTTAATATAATGCTACAATCAGAGTTACGATGAATTCTCAAATATTAAAAATTGACTGGAATCAGGATCTTCATTAAATCAAGATTAACTTAATCAATATATTGTTACATTTGGGACAACTGCGACCGATATATCAATGCATTAACTTTAATTAATCTAATCCCGTCTCAAGAGAACTCCGCCACGATTATTAATTTTTATACCCATTAACGAATCAAAACATCCGAAAAAAAAAAATACATGTATAAATGTCATACCTTGATATAGCTTTTGCGCACTGATTGGTCAAATTTTTCACAGAATTCTTCAATAGCACTGAGAGATTTTGATGTAGATTTGCTGTGTTTGTCAACATCTTGGTCTTGTTTCTGGCGAATCTTTTCTGTAATTTATAGGAAAAAATATACATGCTTATTTGTTATCATACTTTCTTAATGATTAATATTAGACAGAAATGCATTCATGAGAACTCTATAATTATAGGAATCACCAAATATGGTAAATAATGGAGAAAATTAACCTTGACCATTACAAAAATACGAATAAGGCATCAGAATGTCCACTTATGTTAATATTATTTATCCAAAGAATAAAATTAAGAAATGTTTAAATTTATCATATAAAATATTTGGAGATAAATCTTATAGTTTACAGTGAACCTGTTTCGCAGGAATATGAGAAAAGAAAATCAGAAATAGACTTGAAAATGTATCAATTTGTGTAACAATAACAATTTGTTAAAATTTAAGCTTTCTTTTGATGCAAAAATGGTTAAGCAAAAGAAACAAATCTAAGCTTTTTTTTTCTCAATAAGATGACAAGATTATTAGATAAAGCTGATGCTAAAGCTGATGTTACAGTAATTTCTAAATTATTGTCAACCAAATGATTTTAAAGAATCAGACAATAAAAGTGCTACAAACCTATTAAGCAATGATGAGCATATTTTAATGCATCCATAACTACACTTTCTACAGCGAAATTTGTCTGGTAGTTTCCTGCCGGAGGGTTCCGGTGCAAGAAATTTTGTAGAAGCTTATCAAAGTCTGCTGGTAGGTTCGAAATTAATTGATAAGGGAAATTTGGCGTACTAAAGTTCATGTCCGCTATAATGAGGTCTCTGAGTAGTGGAAACAATGGGTGAGATCTAAATGCATTTGATCTGTCAGTTATTAAATGTTGAATAAATCTCTGTTGAGAAGCCATCATAGGTGGTCTATTAGGCGATGACGCGTTTTTGCAATTATTACAGTTTGGTATTGCACATGGAACACCTGATAATTGTCCACACTGACCTTGACCCATTCCCATACCCTGTCCCTGCATACCCATGGGTGCCGACTGAGGCGCAGCCCCCATCTGATGAGGTTGCTGTGGAGTCTGGGGCATGCCTCCATTCCAACCCATGCTGTCATTCATATTAGATCCCTGAGAGTGTGGAAACATTTGATTCTCCATATTGTTCATGTTCATATTTCCTGGCATTGCACGATTTTGTTCAAACTGAGGATCAAATCCCATCATTCCACTGCTTCCTGCAGCAGACGGCATATTCATGTGCATTGACCTTTGACCTTGGTAACCGTTTTGAGAATTTTGCCCCATTCCCTGAAAGTTTTGGCCATTTGCATAATTCTGATTCATATTTTGACTCACATTACCCATAACCCCTTGATTCATTCCCATCATGCCACAGTTCTCGTTCATATTACCCTGAGACGGACCAGAATATTGACAGTTTGAATTTTTCACCATTGGGTTCTGCATATTAACTGGGTCATATATACCAGACCCTTTAGAAGGGTCCTGCATTTGACAAGCACTCTGGCCCCTAAACGTATCAATCTGAGGTTGTTGCATGGGACCCATTGGGCCATTTGGCATATGACAATTCATATTTGACATGTTCGACTGGCTCGACATATTTTCACTATATGCTGGCATTACTAAGTTCTGATTATTATCCATACCAAAGTTATTGCCGGAAGATTTCTGTTGGAAGTCAAACTGTTGCATATTATTAGAACTATTTGAGTATTCAAAGGGATTCATACTAGTCTGGCCATTATTATTAGGCACTGTGTAAGGAGCAGTTTCTGGTTTGACATGGTGATTTAAACGAGGCATCATTTTAGAATGCATCTTCTGAATACTGTTTCTATACTCTTCTAATTCACAATCTGGTACATTAGTTCTATAACAAGGTTCATATGGCAAGCCTCCATTTTGTCTTGCACAATTAGCACTATTTTCAGCAAAATGAACAGATTTTTGTGGAGTTGCACCCATTGTCATTTTTTGTTGCGAGTTCACCGGGTGCATATGATTTGAAACACTAGACGGCACTGTAGAAGTAGCAGAATCCAAACTACGCGTACTCATCGTGTCTGAAGACGTGAAATATCCCTGATCTAAAGGCGAATCACTTGGACGGTTAAACTGAGAGTTCATTGTTTGACCTTGCATATTCATATTACCAAGGTTACCAGAATTGTTCATAGCACATGACTGGTTTCCCAAATTACCTTGACTGGCAGCAGGTGACATAAACTTACCCTGCTGCTGCTGTTGAAAGTTCTGTACATTTACATTAGGAGGTACTGGCCTACCAAGTCTCTGATATGGCTGAGCCATAGGTGTCTTCTGCACACTCTGACCTTGATTTTGACCTTGATATTGTCCATACTGAGGTGGCGGTTTGTACCCCGGTGCACCCGTGGTGCTGTGAGGCATCTGTGGAGAGGGCGCACCACCTACTGTCCGTGGTGAATAACACCTTTGTGGCACATTTTGATTATTATTGTTACTATGGACACTAGAATGGTTGCTATGACTACTGTGATCACTATGAGAACTTTGGTTTGAGCTAACAGACAGATTTGACCTTGGAGACATTGCACCTTGTGATGTCGGTATTGGTCTCCTTGGTGTTGGGGGAGTCTGAGGTGCTTTAAACACATGATTATTGCTCATATGAGTCAAAGGTGGTGGACTTGGTGGCCCAGAATTTGACATATGGAATCTCTTGCTCACCGGGCTACTAGATCCACTCGATGTTGCTATAGTTACATTTGTGCTAGAAGCAATTGAGTATGAAGGGGAGCCACAGTTTCTATTTCCCCAATTATTTTCACCAGAACTTTTGTTTGTTGGTGTATTAAGAGCACTATTTGCCTGTGACTGGTTGGTTGGAGTTGGAAAGCCGGACGATCGGAGAGCCTCTGGTGTCATGTATTGCTGAGGATCTCCCATATCCTGTTCCATTAAGAACTCAACGAAATCTAGCTCCATCCCCTCCTTCATCCCAATATCCTCGCACAGCTCATCGAGGAGCTCGTTCGGCAATCGTTCATCGTCCATCTCCTGTTGTTCTTGTGCAGGCGGGGAGTTTGGTGTCCCAGGTGACCCGCAGTTCTCCAGGGACAATGTTGTAGTTACAGACGATGCCGACGGGCTCGCCGGTGCCTCACGGTACTCCATCAGCTGAAATAATAAAAAAATATTTTAGGAATGTTAAAAGATTTTTATTAAAACTGAAATTAAATGAAGAGTTCATATTATCAGGAGCAAAATAAAAACAACCTAAAATTATTACTGACAAAAACTTTCTTCACAACTTAAAATGTTTCTAGGTTACATTAGTGCATACACCTTTTTAAAGTACTTGATGAAAAAAAAGTTGAAAAAATTATTAGTTTTAAAGTACAAAATTTTATGTATTGTAAGCCTTAAGGCAAATAAAAATTAGAGCAATTAAACAAATTTTATCTAAAAATGTTTTTATCTTTAATTACTAAGTACTGAATAAACTTAAAATATATATACCAGATTGTGGCTTAATACCACATTAAGGCAATCTCAAAAGTGAATATCCACTTATAATAAACATACAAAATAAAATAATACAAACACACTCTTATCAAAGATCAAATTATGATCATGAAGATTTGCACTGTTTAGGTATGGCAGTACCAAGTTTTTAATTGGACAATGTTAAATTTCGCAACTTATTTTATTAGCCATTCATTATAAATGAAACTTATAAAAACAGAAACAAGGTCAGTGGAACAATATTCTATTTTTAACGTAAATATTTAGTAAAATCCTCTTCTGATAGGAAGCAGATAAGGAGAACAATAACTTACTATCACAGACTCCATGACTACAACCTAAATATTCCCACAGTCTAAACAGAAGAATTACATCACACCACAAAACAATAACCACAACTCCCCAACCAAACTGCTGTGCACGAACTGTTTAAGTGAGCAGTATTGTTCAAGTCCCCACTTAACCTACATGTCAGATCTACTTCACGGGTAAATTCCGTAATTCTGACAGCGTGCAGATGCAACTTTTTGAGTTTTTGAATGGGACAGCATTTATACAATTAACGCTAGCGGAACCAACACCTTAAAATTTAAGTATGATATAATTCTTTTATTGACACAGAGTAAATAACTTCATTTAGTATGTCTTCACTCATTCTAATTATTTAAAGATATCAAATTTTACTCAAAATATCTTCTTCATTGTAGCCAATATACATGTATGGAATAAACTGTGCTTGTACGTCTCCGAGATTTGGGTCTCCTCTTAAAACAGCAGTATTTATAATTTAACAAAATGTAAAAATTATCATTTAGGGTCTCTCACGGCAATGTATATAATTATGTATCTTATATGTATAAAAATTACATTTTACTACTTAAAGGGTCAGTACGATATATACAAACACTTGGGGACGATTTATCCCAGTCTTTATGTACATGAACAAAAGCCATTCACCTAGATATTTTAATAGAAGATAAGGTTTTATTGCTACAATATCACAGTCATAAATATCTGTTTTAACTAACCCCGAAGCTCATCCAAAATGCAAATAACATAGTAGTAAAACAATAAAAACCTTCTTTACTCAAGAACCATACAATATCATTGGATATAGAAAACTATAACGTATTGTCCCGATAACGCAGTCTGCGATGTCCACCGGTTTTGCATTTATCTCGCTAATTTATCATTCAATATACAATGAAAGCCAATTAGGCATAAACTTGTAAATTATATTTACTGTTTACCTTGTAAACAGAAATCATTTTTCATAATCTTAATGATGGTTTAATAAAGCCCGGAAATATACTCAATTACACATATCTTTAATCAATGGGATGAACAAATACCACATAAAGCATATCCCCTTACTGAAATCAGATTCAACAGCCCGTAGTAAAATGGCAGTATCTTTAGCTTTGTTTTATTACAAGGTACGGCAGTCTCCGAAACATCCTGTCCCGACTTATTTTCAAACACTATGTCAGTTTTCAACATTACTAATTCATATATGGTATAAAATGCCAGTCAGACAAAGATAATCGCTCTATTTCAACAGATTTTAAGTGCATTCAATTTGCAGGTATACAAAATAGGAAATAATTTTTTACCATTTTTTTTTCTGTCAATAAAGTCATGCAATGCTTTCATTTGTTGTCATATGTATATCATACTGTGATATAGACATTATTTTAACTGAAAAATGTTATAAATCTAAGATAATATATATCACTTTCCATTTAAACCCCACCCCTCACCCCTTCCTCCCCACACCCCCTCGGCTCCTCCCCAAACTGGAAATTATATGCCTGATACTAACTTGTATCTAAGTTGTGAATCTTACAATAGATGTCTAAGATACAGAACTTCATGCTAAAAGTCTATCAAAATTCAAATGCCATTCTGAGCAAATTACATAACATCACCATTATAATAATCATCATTAAAAAAAAAAAATGGGGTAGAAAATGACACTTTTCCGCCATTGCTCTGAAACCAACGATGCAGAAATTTTTCTGCTTGTAAGTTTGCAAGTTAATTCCGGCTGTAACGACAGTGGATGTGATTATTGTGTAATTCAATAAAGCACAGCCAAGATGATATCTGCGTTTCCGCAGTTATATTTTCACTGTTGCTTTTACTAAATTAGAATTGTAAATTATGCAGATAAACTTTCGTACAACAATAGCCGTGTGTTATTATCGTCCCACGTTACATTGCGCTTTTTTGCTTCGTACCATTAACTGAATTAACAACCGAAGTTATGGATTGTGCAAGTTAATAAAATCACATTCTTCATTTTTAAGTCTGTTGATAATCACTATGTTTCATTTCGTTAATAACAATTTAGAAACAAATGATTGGGTATTGCTTTTAAAAGTAGTATTAAAATCATTCATATTATATTAACCACTTGATAAAATTTACATTATTTGTCTCGTATAAATAAAAAAGAATTTACAGTCATCATCATTAAAATATTAAAGCTTCGAAGTGTAAAGAAAGAGTTTGATTAGCAAAAAAAAATTCAAATTCTTCGTCACACCACAGACTGAGTCATAAATTTTCTTTCCTCAAAAAGTGACCATAATAAATCTAACGTTATCTGGTCAAGGATTTTTAAATTCAACAGGTTTTTCTTAAGCCTTATTTATTTAAGATATCTTTGGAGGGGTTATATCTCATGGATTCATTTAAAAATAAAGTAATCTTGCTCCATTATCGCTGAATTCGTCATTTGTCATTTTACACAAAGACGTTGATTGCAAACCCGTGATCGGGGCGGCGAAGTTTACAGAAATTAATCGCAAATAATCACGTCCCTACCCACTTACAATTCCGAACCTTTGGGAGATCAAGTAACCTATGAAAATGGAAGGTCACATTTTAATTAAACAGTGGCTGCGCTTTCACAATAGAGCTGGAAGTCATTCACGAGACGAGTTGATGTAAATCATTTACGAAATGTTGTTATTAAAATGGCTTTTATTTCACATAAAAGGCCAGCAAGGGACCCTCTCTCAAGCCCTGTGATGGTATTTTACGATAAAAGATTAAAATATTCGAGCCTGTTGAATCTATTATAGTGAAGGAGGAAGGGACAGTTTTGACGATAAAGAATGTGTTCCGTCCCTCCTGTCAACTTTGGTCAAATTTACACAAACACCTTACATTGTGTTTAAAAAAAACAGGGTATAATTATCTTTGCTAAATGATTCTGCTCATCTAAAGTTCTCAGGCTGATCATCGAAATTATTTTTTCTAAGTTTGATAGTTTCTTTCATGAAAAAAAAACAAACCAACAATTCTTCCATTCCGATATTTCTTCTATAGACGTTAAGAGCGTTTAATGTCAGAAATGAAAAAAAAATATCAGAAAAAGCAAAAAAGTTAATGTAACAAGATAATTATGTTAACATTTATATTTGTTTCCAAAAAGAACAAAAACACTCGGTAATTTACTAACATTTAACAGTGTAAATAAGCTGTCTGCACAGGGAAAAATACAATTTACATAATTCAGAACATTACATAGTAGCATTATGAGAAACATAACAATTTTACAGGCGGCATGCGAAATTACTAGTCTAGTTTTTGTCCGGGAAACGCCAAAAAAAACCATCCAATACAGTTTAGTATATATCTTCTAATCAGTGCACCTTTTTACTCAGAATTTTTTTTCTTCGAGATACTCACATACCCGACCTGTGTGTCTAAAGAAGGGAATTAAATTTTTACCTTCTGGGTTTTTTTTAACGCAATAATCATTGTCAAGCTTTTTGGAACCGTCCCTTATCAATTTTGGCCCATTATCTAGCACATCAAAATAAAATATTTATTTTAACTAAGGAGATAGTATAAACAGCCTGGTCAAACAGCATCCGTATTGTGCTGGTTTGCCTTCAGCCTATACTGGTCGCAAAGGCTAATCAATTTCAGTTTATGAAGTGTAAAAGTTTCAACAGTTGGCTGAAAAGTATGACCCAAAATTTAATAACAAAATGTAATTTTAAAATAATTATGCCACATGCTGCTGGCCTTTTTACCTAAGAGCAGTGAGAAACGCAATTTAATAATAAAATATAGCAGAGTTGCAGTGGTAGGACATGCACTTCGGGAGTTTCAGTCCTACTAAAAACATAGCTTATAATAATAATGTCCATGAGCAGGAAATTTACTCTTCATGGTATCTCGTTACAGCCAAACATGTGCAAGAAAATTTCAAAAATGCAAGAGAAGGGAGCAAAAAAATCTTTCATTAATTAAGTATAATGAGAAACACACAACAGATATTCTGGATCGGAAACTATCTTTCAAGATGTTATTGTTGATGTTTCTAAATTAGATTTTTCATCACCTGCATGTGAACTGACTTGAGTTTTTCCAGGCATTATCTTAGCAACAATATGTAAACTCCAAGACTTGAGTGCTTTTATCTATCTGTATATTTCTTACACAAATAAAATGTCTCTATGATTTACAGTTTAGTCTCAAGAATGTGAACATTCCTTTAAACAATGCTTTAATATATACAAATATATTGAAAAATTTGATTATTAACAAGTATTCATATTTCTTATTATAATGATCAATTGCTGATAGTTCTAAAAAAATTTTGCCAGAAACACACTCACATCTGATACCTTAAAGCTTCCTAAACAATCAAAACTTAAAATATATTCTGAATAAACTAAGAACATAACTTTGCTTAGAATTTGAGGCAGAATAAAAACTATTTCACAGAATTTATCAAAACTTTGCCGTATTTATCATATACTTTGATAAAGGACACATTTTAAGTGAAATATATATTTACAGGTTGCCAATCTTTTTGATTTTGCCAAATTTTTTGAGTTACCTGCCTTGGATTTTATTTTTTTTTACAAATTCAAGGACAGATAACTCTAAAAAACAAGATTAAATGTATACCCCAAATTTGTGTGTGCTTTATATGTTTTTGACCTTATAATGATCAAACTTATTCTAAGTTATGCCTCCAGATGAGCCAAAATATTTGAAGAAAATATTTCTTGAAAATCAAACACAAGAAGAAAAGTGAAACAAGATAAGAAAAGTAAAAAGTTTCAAAATTTCAAGTTATGGTTTACATGTTGTGTGCGATGAATAACTGGTTTTGAAGTATTTATAACCATATTTCTACTGCTTTTAATTTACCATGTAACTTACACACTTTGCATATGTTGACCTCTTTTTGGTAATTTACGTGGACTGTAAGTGCGGTTTGTGATGTATAAATTACTTTCTTTGTGCACTTTACAATATTTTACTATTAAATACATTTTCGAAGTTTTCATGAAAAATTAGCACAAATCTCAGCTTTAAACTATAACAAATATCAGGACAAACCAGAAAGCATTAAGTATGTATGTATACACCATATCTTCTTGTCAACTATAAATGTATATTGACGAAATTTAACCTATAAATTTCTCATTTCATTTTTAATGTATTTTAGAAATATAAAATATCTAACATGGGCTAGTGAACAGCTATTTTCATTACAGAAAGTTAAAACTGTGTTAACAATTATTATAAATAGAATTTGAATATATCATGGAGGTATCAAGCCTTGAATCAAAATTGTACCTGTGAGTTTGAGAAATTAAAACATGCCAAGCTGTGTAAGAACAACGGCTGCTTTTAATGCTGAATATCTTAGCTCAAAGGTCAATTTTCAAATGGGTCATAATTCTGTCAAAATCCAGTTAAGAGTTATGTTCCTTGGATAGGAACCAGCTACTATTAAGCTGTCAAATAAGTGTGAAGTTTCAACCCATTCCCTTTCAGTAGTTTTGGAGATACCAACTAGCACACAAGAGTGCGATGCTGACACCGGAGTGATTAAAATCCCTATTCATGAAAAGTCCAGCTAAAATTCGGCAGATCTTCACAACAATAAACCCAGGCCTTTGAATTTTATGTAAATTTTAAAAAAAGGTTAATATTTTGATAACATTATACCACTTTCTGACAGAAAATTCTCACAATCAATAAAAACTGGAATTCAGATTATAATTTACATCACTTCAGGCAAAATTTAGCCAAACCCTTAAATCTCATATTCAACCCCAATCAAAAGTGATTTAAGCCTTTGTCATTGGTAAAGGATTAGGCCAGTATGCACTTCCTTCAAAATGGACAGGCTCTTTATCGTGGCTAACTAATACTATGTTATCTTGATATCACAGAAAAAAAAGTAACAGTTCCTAAATGGAACTTGGAAGTTGTAAAGGCCATTCAATAAATTCAGCATGTAAACCTGTTATAAATCAATATAACGAATCAAATGGTCAGTCATCAACATGTATAACTTAGCCATACCACTTCACATAATGATAATATGACATCATATATTTGTTATCATAATAAATCCCTGGTGAGAAATAACTATGACATCATGGCTCAAGTGAGAAAATATTGCCCCTATTCTACCATCAGATAAAAGTATAAATATTATGATAGGAAAATCTGTTACACATGAACTTGATGGATGGACTACACACTCTTGGCCATTATCTGAAGCTAGAGATATGATGGCCCTTAAAAATTATCAGTGGACCCCTTTGATGTGACAGCTGGCAACAATTAGACCTATCCAGTTTTTATGACCACTTGTTTGTAAAACCTGTGATATATTGCCACAGGGCGATTTTTGTCTGATGAATCTATATCAAATCTTTTTAAGACTCTGACCAGAATTGAACAAAAATGAATACATTTTTAAATTTAAATGAAGTCTACAACTGCCATGGATTGTTTTAACTATAAATCTCCCCAACACATACTTAGTAAGATCATGTCCCCATTTTAATTCTAACTTTTTAAAATGTCCAACATTTAACCCATAACCTGCTGGAATCAAAAGTGACAGACCTTTGCCACCAGTATAGTGCCAGGCCAGCCTGCATAGATCCTTGCAGTCTGACCACCAGACTAGAGGTCTTTTATGCTTGTAGCTCAAATTTTGTATGTACTTAAAACATTACCATTGTCAAGTCTAGTGATAAGTTTTACTTCTTTGAACCCAGAAAAATGCTTAAATTAAATTTTTTACACAGTAACCATAGAAAAATGCTAAAAATTAAAATATTTACACAGTTAGCATAAGGATGGAACTTTATTCAAATCTAACCAATGGGAACATTATTCAAAACTATGAAAAAGAATAAGAGTTTCTAGTGATTTATACGAAAAAGAATAAGAGTTTCTAGTTATTTATGTTGCACAGACTTGTTTTAATATTTACTGCTGTACAATAGCCCACTATTTCCACAAGAAAGGCTTTTGTTCCACAAGATAGGCTTTTAAAGCATAAGGAACCACTTAAGGAAGCAGTGTGAGCTCTCGAAAAACCAAAAACAGCTAACCTCAAGATATTGTTATAAGCATAAAACTTCTCTCCATGAGAAACCTTAACGTAATAACCAAATTAACCATTATTCATTAAAGCCCAAAATGCTTCAATGAAATGTTCATATTAAAAAATAAATCTTATACCTCCTCCAAAGTTGAAACAGGACTATCGTAATCCCTCGACCTTTTCACAGATTTACATGAACCGATGCGGTTATACTTGGACACATCTACAGTGAGTCTAGGTTTACACGGGCTGCTCGTAACCGAGTGTGCCTCACGAGCCCGGTCACGATAAGCATTAAATGCTGTGGTATTCGGTTTACAAAATTCAAACTGGTTCTCATCCCGATTGTTTATCAGTTCTTTCAACTTATCACATTCATCTGGTATGTTTCGCTTTGCATCAATTACGTCCTGTTTTTCCGCGTCCGTCTGTGTGGAATCGGGACTCACTATACTGTACAACATTTTACATAACTTTCAACGAAAACAATCCACTGACAAACAATGCTGTTAAATATCTTATACAAGCAGCCCCCTGCTCTACAGTTTTTAAAACTCTGAATAAAATATTCTACATATTTCAGTTTTGTTGTTAAACTTCTCTGTTTATTAAATAAAAGAAAATAAGAACCAAAAGTCAAACAACTATATCCTGTCTATAACAAACACACAGTTATACACAGACTTATGTCTTTCATTCAATCTTCATTGTACACACTGATGAAAAAAGCACAGTCAGTTGTTAACACATAACATACACTTGTGACTTGGTCAATTCAATTTGCCCACTGGACCATGAAGTGGTCAGCTTTATCTCAAACCAAGTTATCACAGCAAATCTCTACACATTTAAAGTTTAAATCCACACTAAATATGTCTAGTTTGAATAAATGTTATCAGCCCCAAGTCTTTCATGGGCACATATTTATGTGTACATCCCAGATAAGTAAGTAATCTCTCTTTCTTTACTTTTCATTCATTCACTGATAAACACTTGTGCATTTCAGCTCAACACAAAGACCATTACTCCATTTTGAAAGCTGCACCAAATCTTCTCATTGGTTGGCCATCAGATCCTTCAGCCAATCAAATAGCTCTATTCATTCATAACAACTGCACCACCTGCTCAGGAAATTTTCTATGAAACAGACAAATGCCTTCACTTGATTAATGTAATTTTACCCCAGTGTGTTGCCTTGAGGGGATAAAAACTCCTTTGAAGTAAAATTATTGGTCTTGATTACTCCTCTCTTTTAAGCCTGACTTGATTACATTTTAATAGGATTTTATGGATATAAAAATATATTTTCCTGGAAGATTAAATCTGAAACTTATGTTCCACAGTTTTAATCTTTGACAATATGTTAGTGTTATTTTAATAATTAATTTTCATTATGTGACATTAATTTAGAGATTTTTTCTTTTATTCACCAAATAAAAAATTATGATAAATTAATACAATAAATTCTATATGAAACAATAAATCAATAGTTTAAACTGTAGGAATTTAAGATTTAAAATTAAATTGATATAAATATATTTTTTCTTTTCAAATATAATAATTATTATTAGAGTGAAAACTTTAAAGGGCTGATTTGTATAATATTTATAATTCAATGCTAATAAAGAAAATGTTAAAATTTACATTAATTCTCAGAATCTGTTGTTTTTTTTTTTAATATTTTAGTTTGAAAACCGTAAAATATATAATTAAGGCTTTAAATGGGAATATTTTTTTTCAAATAAAAAGACAGTCAAGTCTATGAAGGGACATATGTTTATCATAGATTATGTAAAGATTACAGAGCTATCTTTTAAGATGTTATCACTTTCCCTTTTGACTAACGATCTCGCATAAAATTTGCATTTTTCTACGCTCCAATTATTTTCTCCTTTTTAAAGGTGCATTTTTTTTGGTGTTAATCAATAAAATATAAATTTTCAATTTTTCTTTTAAAAACATTTTTTTCCCCACTGCTATGGATTTATTCTGTTTACTAAAAAGAACAGCTTGTGTACTCTTTCATTTAACAATCAGCTTGAATGCAAGCTGTCTCATACAAAAATGTTTGTACTTCCCTTTTGATCTCTTTCACTGCCTACACGACCATTTGTCAGGTCATCAATACATTGTATACACTACATTAGGGTCCACACAAATCCCCAAATGTTGTTATAATGGCCAGGTCTAATTTTTATATAATTACCACCATTTTGATATGTTTACTACAACTATTGGGATTTTTTCACAAGTGCTTTTCAATAAGTGTTAATTGTCTACAATTTCTACTACTAATTGAATAGACAAATACACAGACAACCAGACAGGCTGCAGCACAACCATTCATTTAAAATGTTTAAAATTTTTAAATCAATATTTTTTTTAAACAAGAAATGATTACATATTACATTATTAACATTGAACAACTTCACTAAACTGGCTCATTCAACTGTCAAATTATTACTTCTTAAAAAAGCAATTATCTTTAAAAGAGTTGGAAGGCCCACTGAGAGAGAGAGAGAGGGTGTGAAATGCAAGGATATCAACAATGTCCAACATTGCATTAATCTTAGACACAGTGTCTGTCACAGAATTCCTGCCATGTAACAACATCAAATTCTCATCAATCATTTATTTAATGTTAATAATTGTATTCTTATTGCAACAATCATATCTAACAGATCTTATCATTGAATCAAGAACTATTCTGAAAAGAAAGTGTCTGAAAAATGTATTGACTTTATTTGTTCACTTTTTATCTTCATTTGATTTTTTTTTGTAATTTCATTGAAATTACCAAAAACTGATTTTCATTGGTCCCATCAAATGTTATATGTTTCAAAAACAATAAATCAATTTAAAGGAAAATATGTGCCAGATACACTGCTTGAACTTGCATGGAGCACAGTATCCCTATCAAGCGCAGAGACCAAGTTTAAAACCATGTGCACTGAACAGTGAATCAAAACATCACAAAAAATTATATCCAGTAACTGCTTATAACAGTCAGCATCCACAGTGTAACTTACATTTTGGAAGTTGTTCATTTCCTTCTCTTTCGTCCGCCTGTCTTCCGCCATAATGAGACCATGTAACGCAGGGAAGGAATGCTCCCCACCTGGCTTGAGGAGACCGTCATTACTGGAAGATCCTGGCATGCTTGATGACCCTGGACTTCCATGACGAACCTCCTCCTTTATACTGGCTGCCGCCATCTTTCTTCAGTCATCACGCCTGAAAATAAATTTCAGATTAATTTTATATATATTCAAAAGTGCCACAACAGTTCAGTTAAGTTTATTTGCAATCGATATCAGCAATAATTTTGCCATTGGCCATATACATTATTTTCAACTTATAACAAAGATAAAAGTTTCAAAGAGGATCAAGGCAGGTTCTCAATGACAGCTTAGAAATAAGAAAAAGAAAATATATCTCATATTCATGTCTTGGGCACTTTATATGAAAAAGAAGAACAGCCAAATCTTTGACTTGGTCTACATTTTTTCAAGTGAAGGACAAAGCCACCCACCCAGTCCCACAGAAAAGCCCTCCCGCCCCATATTAAAATGACATAGCGGGTCCATGAATTTAACAGGTAAGACAATTAAGCCCTCCCATGAATAATTTAAGGGTAGGACAAACACCTCTGCAGAGGATGGTCACATAGGTAAATCTGTTGCTTTTAGCAGGGTAATGGTTAAGCAGCCTGACAATTGTGTCCTTTTGATGGTTCATATAAATTTTAAAGGTCGGACTTTATCGATCTATGCAGTTAATAACACACTTGTATATATGTATTTAATTGAACTATCATTCTGACCATGAATTAGGTAAGAATAAAAACAACTGACAAAAAAATAAATAAATGAATAAACAAGTTATAAATATAAGTGCAAAAAAAAGTAGAAAGTCTCAGTTAAGCCTTAGGCAGCCAATTGTACTAGATAGGTTTTTTTGTGAGACATTCATACAGCCTCCAAAAGCTTGTCACCACTTTATATATACAAATCTTGACCTAAAACAAATCTTGTTATAAATCATTCATATTTAGAAGAAATACGTTTTCCTGACAAGTATAATTAATATTAATGACAAGAAAAAGATAAGATTTTCAGATTAAATATGACAGAAAGCTCAACCACCATTTTAATTAGCCCTGGAGCAAACTCTGGTATTAAACTTAATAAATAACAATGGACACAAGGTGTCCCCTTGTTTCACACCTCAGGTGTTGCTTGAATGTCTATGTAATTTGTTTTAAGGAAGGACAAATTTGTAACATGTTAGAAAAGGACAAAAATAATCTAGTCATTATCTTAATTAAGATTACACGGTTTTCATCAGTAAAAATTCGGTCAGATACCTTAAAGTAACAACCACAATTATTATCCCTCAATTTATACAAAGAAGCTTAGAAACAGTTTTTTTTTTTGCTTCATGCCTTTCACATTCACTCAGTTTGAATCTTACAAATACTTTAAAGATAGTATTTTTCAATGCTTTGAGCAGAAAAAAGTCTCCCTTACTGCTCCAAGTTTCAAAGGCTCATTGAACAGACCCAAAGGTTTCAAGACAACACTGATGATAAATGAATTACCAAAATATGCTTGATGCCATCAATTATAACATAAACTTAAGACCTCACTGCTGCTGTGCTAGTTTTAAAGCGCTACATTTTAAGCACCTGCCTTCCCTTCAACAATGGATTATAAGGTTTGAATTGTTCATCAATAGACTTTAAAATTTCAATTATCAAAATATAATAGTAATTAAATCATTTATGAAATATTGACATACAGCAACCAATTGAATAATTATTCTCATTTATATTTAATGTCAGAGAGGACCTTGACTTTTACTCGCCATGCTCTGAGCAAAATAAAATTAAATTAATACATAAGAATTCATAAAATAGGTTCAAAACAATTTGCATGTTCTTTTTAATCATTACACAAAAAATAACACTGATGATAATGTGAACTCAAAGTCAAGACTCTCTTTTTTTTTTTTTAAATTCAAAGGATCCATCCACCATTCATATAGGACATTACATACTGACACGCGCCCAGAACTATTCTTTTATGTGCCACCATCTATTTACTTCTTATCAGAAACTATAATGATAGGCATTATAAAGATATATTTTGATATGTAAACTGATTGATTTTTCAGCTTAAACAGGGATAAAGAAGATCCAAGATTTAACTCTATGTATTCATACAAGCTGTTCAGTAGACAAGGTGAAAGACTCCCTCAAAGTAGGTTCTGATAGTTCATTAAAGGAGTTCCACTCAGGTCTAAAAGCCTTGAAACATAAAATTTGAAAATCTTACCTACATTAATTGGGGTACTTAAAAAGTATTAAGATTTTAATAAAGAATTTTACATACTTCTCATTTTTGGGTTATTTTGCACATTGAAATCAATTATTCCAGGAAAAAGGAGTAACCAAATGATCTGAAATAAATTTTGCACATAAGTTCCTACATCAAATAGTATAAAATTTCTAAACCAACTTCTAGACCTGTCATGTCAAAAAAAAACCTAGGTTGAGTCCCTTTTAACCTTAGATACCCCAGTAAAAGGATAATTACCTCTAAAGACCTTTTTGGTAAGTGAATAATTAAGAGTCCTCAGGGTGCAGTACAAATTGACTGTGAAGAGTTAACAAGCATACAAGTTACCTTAAGACAATATGTTTATTTTTTGTATGATTAATGTGGACAATAAGAATACATAATAATACTTTCAAAAATATTATGTTAGTACTTAAAGTGAAGATGTACACAGGGCAGTGGTCTTTCTCACTTAATTAGGAAGAGACCTTAACCTCTTGATTTTGGGAAGAAATATTGCTTATTTGGGAAGAAAGAAGCTGGTGTAAATTCAGATTTTTGGGGAAATCTGCATGATTTTTTAAGATTCTACATAGGCCTCTGTTATAGGTGAAAAGTCACTGTATTAAAGGTAACTGTTTGC